GGACGGAAGCACAGAGACACAGGGCAGATGCGCCAGCCTCTACTGGCCGAGGGTTCCTTTTCCTCTTTACTTGAGACAGGGCGGGCTTCAAACTCTTGACCACCTGCCTCAGGTTCCAGAACGCTGGCTGGAATTACAGGCACACGCCATCGTGACTACCTGTCTTGCACCCTCTCACACCTCGTCACCTTGCGACAGACCAACACTAGCAGAACACCCACCAGTTAGCTCCCCAAGACCATTTCAAAAGCTATCTACCATCGTCTCTTCAAGGAATTATCCATCTGAAAAGATAGCAACCAGCAGACATTTGCAGGAAAACTGCAGTTGCTACACGGCAATGACTCATTTGTAATGCATGGTACACCTTCTCAACCACTCTGAACGTATTTCTTGGGGGAAAGAGCCGGGGGCTGGTAAAACCCTGAAATTTACAGAGGTCCGGAAGAAGGAGGAGATAAGGGAAGTCAATCTGGTAAACAGCTGTTTGTGGGGTGTGGCGCAATAACGGAGAACTAAGAGGTCTGTGCGCTGAAATCCAAAAATACCATTAGCTACAGAGCTCAGACGCACTTTTTACCCTTGTTGGTCGTTTACCCCCCCCCCCCAAAAAAAGTGCCCTAGTTAGTCTATGCAACTGACCCAATAAACCCTTTTATTTCCAAGACCTCTTTGCCACACGACCACTTCGGGGAACAAACTGATACAGACTTAAAACTGTCTCGGTCCCGTGCAGCCAGCCAGCCGCTCCCGCTGCAAGGCATGCATGCATGCATGCATCAATGCATCACCGGACCTGGGCCTGCCCACCCCGTAACCCTGTGATTTCGAGACCCCGGGAGACTTGCCAGGGGCGTCCCAGCGGGCTCGGGCGCAGTCGGTCTCGTCCTGCGACGCAGAGCCTGGGAGATGGACGAGGGCGACCTGGCGAACCCGTTCGGCTATTTCCGGAGAGTTACGGCGAGCACGGCCGGGAGGAGGGCTCGGGCCAGCATCGGGGGTCCGGCTCGCCTGCAGCTCGCCGGGGCCTGCGCCTCGGACGCCCAGTAACGCTGCGCTGCGCTGCGCGGGGGTGCAGGGACCGAACGCACTCACCTCGCCGCGATGCTCAACTGCCGGGGTGGAAGGCTCCGCTTTCCCGGATGTAACGGGGGCTGCACCGACAGGAAGTCCCGCCCCTGCAAACCTGCAGGCCTGGCAGGAGACGTCCGGAAACCCCGCCTCCACGTCGGCGCTGCGCACGCGCGGGACTGTCAGCCTGCGCGTCCTTGGCGCTGCAGGGCTTGCTCTGGTTGGAGTTGGTGCGCTCTGGCGTTGAGCTGCGTGCACGTCCTGTCTTGGCTAAGAGTTTGCAGATCCGCGCTCTCGTCCTTATAGTTCATGTTTTTCTCCCATCTCCCTTTCTCCCGCCTTGCCCTTTGGTCACGGCTGCCATTGTGCAGCTCTTAATTTACTAAACCTGTACCAGCCGAGCCTAAATAAAGGAGATTTTTAAAGTTTTGAAAGTTGGCTGTCAGCACCGACTCCCTTCTCAGTAGTTCACTGAGATGCCGCCTATCCTTAGTTGAGGGTTGTGCTTCCCACCCACCCCAACCCTCAGTTCTAAGGGTAAAATCTGGGGTTCTGTAAATAGTATACGAGCACCTTATCGTTGAGCTGCCCTCCCAGCCATGGAATTTTAACAGTATCCCATTGTGTAGCCTAGGTTGGCTTCTGAAGTCCCTGATCCTCATGTCTTCATTTCCAGAGTTCTCGGGTTACAGGCAGCAGCAATCGTATTCTTACATGCTTAAACATAAGTGTTGCAACAGTTTCGTGAAGGCTCTCTTCATTACACAGATAACAAAACCGGAGCTTGGAGAAGTTAAGGGGTTAGCCCCAAACTCACACAGCACGGGCACAGCTCCCTGACTCCAGAGTTCACATACACAGAATACACATGGCTCAACCATGTCGCTCCATATGGGCAACAGAGGCTAGTATATGGTTCTTAAAACGTTTCCTTAGGAGAAATGGTAGGCAGGTGTGTTACTCTTAAATGGCAAACTCTACACACATGACCAACCCACAAGAGGACCACAGTGTCCTTGCATAATTGCTTGTGAATTCATTGCTTCTCTTGACTTAACCGAAAGACAAGAAAGTATTAATGATGTGCATCATGTCTCAGAGCTGAGTGGCAGGAATGGTGAATCCGACTTGTGAACCAAAACTTGTCTTTGCTGTTCTGAAGAATGTTACCTTAAAAAACTGATTTGGATCCCTCTATCAAATACTTCTTTTTAAGGCCCTCAAGAGCTAGGTTTTGGGGCTATCCATTGTCAACCATTTTAAAAATAAAAACCTTATCAAATGTATGCTGACAGGCATGGATATGTGAACAAATGGAATTCTCCAAGCATTTAAAGAAATATCCTCCTTAAGCCCTTTTTATGAGTGAGCGCTGTCCCGCTGACGTGGCAAGGCTGTTAAAATCAACGTAAGCATCTTGAAGTAAAATCAATGAAGGAATACATATAGGATTCCTTCACATCAAAGCCATTGCTAGCTTCCTATATCAGATGCGCAGGAACCTCAGTTTTGATTTGTTTTTTGTTTCCTGGTTTTTTCTTTCTTTGTTTCTTTGTTTTATATGGCAGCCTCCGATGCTTCATAGAACTGTTATTACCAGGCAACTCAGGTTTTTTTCAGCACAAGCAGTCATTCTGTTGCCAAGTGATTTCTGAAGGTCAAGTGCACGACAGTATTTGATGTTCTGATTCCATTATGGCAGCGATCCAAGCTGGTGCCACAAAATGCAAAACCCTGTTACCGAGGGTGTGAGAGTTGGCTCTGATGGTTGTAGAGAACCTCCATACTCCATGACAAGAGAAAGACTCTTGAGATGATGGGGAAATTTTAAACACACACACACACACACACACACACACACAGAGAGAGAGAGAGAGAGAGAGAGAGAGAGAGAGAGAGAGAGAGAGAGAGATGACACCTCTCTGGGTTTCACAGATTTGAAAACTCAGTGTCCTAAGGTTGATCATAGAGCACAAGTAGAAAGGCAGGTTTCCTGGCTTGCTATTGGCAAATTATGTTCATTAAGCGGTGCCTAAATTAAGTTTGTACTATATAAATATGCCTATATTTTGAGCCTCTGAATGGACATTTCTGTTAAAAGGAGTCCAATATTCCAGAAGGCGATCATTGTTTTGAAGGGCAGGATAGCCATCCACCATCAAACCATCAGCTTGGTCTTTTATGAATCTTGTTTTTTATACACTGGACTTAGTGACATACGAAAGAACAGATTTGTCTATCTTTTATCAGTAGGAAACAGAAGTTCCATGTACTACAATACTATAGGCAAGAACACCAACAGGAAAATATTAAAGGTTTAGGCTCCAAACATAGCTGTCTAATGGATATTTCAAACCACTAGTATGTATCTGTCAGTGTCAACAGCATTAAATTCCGGTGATAAATTCCTACCCCAGGGAATAGGAGCTTTATGTTCATAGCAAATGGGCTTCACTACAGGGAAATTATGCGATCCAAGTTAGACTTTTATAGGATTCGTGTGATTGACCGGAGTTAAAAGACAGAAACCAAAGCCAGTTTGGAAAGGGTTGGGGAAGCAGTAACAGCCCTGGGAATGGGAAGGAGGCTGGATGAACTGTTTCACAGTAACAAGGTTGACTGCTCTTTAAGAAGGACAGATGAAGGACAAGACATCCTTTCCAGATAAGCGGTAGTGCCTTTGGTGGGGAGTACAGAAGTCAGAAGCGCATGTGGCTGTGGAAACAGAGCTTCCGTATTTATTCAAGACATGCTGCTTCCAAGTGAGCTAGTGGGAATTCCAGAGAGGAATAGCATACTTATTCCCTGGGTCAACATTTTCTACCTATCGTAAGGACTTTCTTTCCTTAAAAACTTAGGATATATACAAGTCACTGGTTATTTCCATTGCTGTTTTTCATTAAGAGACTGTAAAATCTTTACCAAACTAACACACTGCCAGGGTACTCAATCCCCCTTCCCAATATGTGCTGTAGTAGTCACTAGGTGATTATTATGGGTAACATATGTGTGTGTTCTATATATGTGTTGTATAGAATATATATGTGACCATATATGACACGTTAAACATACATGTGTGTAACATATTATACACACCTATGTGTTACACACACCAATATATAAAGCATACACATAAAAGTATTAGTAGAAATAACCTCCCCACCTCCCACGTGATACTTTTAACCAGATGAAAGGTGGCTTTAGAGCTGGCATTATTTATGCATAGTTTGAATTTCCCACAGCATTTCATCCAGGGCAAGAATTAGGAATGCTGTAAGTTTTAGACTAGAAGAGTCCTTTTTGTTTCTGTGCTAAGGATTCCTCTTTTCTTGCCCTTGTGGACCAGAAGGAGTAGCAACATTTCACATCCAGAACACATGGCTACTGTAAAAGGAGCTACAGAGGCTTCATAGGCCTTGGACTGTGAAAAGGAGAGCTGAATAATGGCCAGGGCTAAGAAACTATTCAACATCCCGCATTCGATAGCAACCGTTTTGCAAACAGGAAGAGGCTGCATAGAGACTCTAGCAAAGGAATAGCCAAACAAAAAGCCTAGAGCAGGGACCAAAAGCCCCAAAAGAAGCACATCCAGGTTGGCCATTCTCAGAAATACCAACCCCATCCTGAAAGCCAAACAGATCCCTACAAACGTTAAAGTCAAGCTCAGAGGCCGGACTACTCTCTCTAAACAGACCGCTTTCCCGGGTGTTCTGTGCTTAATGACTATGCCAATCGATATTGGTGCGAGGATGAAAAGGAGCGTAGACACAATCTTTAACACAGGAACGTGAAATACGCCTGGCAATCCCAACAGCCTACTGTACAGGTAAGAATTGAGAGGCATCATTACCAGAGCCAGGGATGTTGATGTGCAGGTCATTAGAATGGCCAGAGTGACATCTCCTTCTAGAAGGAGAGCGAAAACATAACCCCCACCTCCTCCTGGACATGTGCAGGTCATTACAAATCCAAAAGTCTGTGCTTTGGGCAATCCCAGAATCTGAGACAAAAGAAAACCACAGAATGGCATAAGAAAAAACTGGATAGCTGCCCCAATAATCACGGGCAAAGGTCTCTTCCATGCTGTTTGAAGCACCTGGAGTTCGATCTTGCAGCCAAGGGCACATTTATTTAAAAGGATCATCAATAAAACAAGCATCAAAGTATAGCAGCTGACATGCATGGGAGCCTGGAAGAGGCTGTCTTCTGCCTGTCGGAGCACTCTGACTTTAACATTCTTTATCTCTTCGATGAGTGTTTTTTGCCTACCTTTGGCATCCCAGAGTTGGATGGTCAGATTGGTCTCTCCTGGGAAGGTCATTAGGCTGATGGTAAAGTCTGTGGTGCCTAGCAAAGTCTTGGTCACATTCACCACCCGCAGCACCTTCGGATCCTCTAATTTCACAAAGAGGTAGCTGGAGTCAGGCCGTTTGCCTTTATAATGGGACCTTACAACGACAGTTTCTTCTGTCTTTGCAAACAACAGAGTTTCTGTATTTTGTAGATTCAGAAAACTGAGAAATGACTTCCTCGTTTCTCCTGGAGTCACCAACAAAAGTAGGATTAGAAAAGATTTTCCAAACATTTTTAACAGTTAGATAAACCCTACGTGGCAACTTCGGGATTTTTTTTTTTTTTTTTTTCAAAAACAAAAGGCTGTTTTTTTTTTTTTTTTTTTTTTTTTTTTTCCTTGCAGGTCTTCCGTGGCAGGAGGCATAAATGTGAGTTAGGTAACAGCTGGGGTTTGGTGGGTCAAGGTCCAAGAGGAGGAACTGTTGTACTTTAAACAGATATAAAGCTATCTGGTGAGTGATACAAGCAGTTTAACTTGTAGTTAGGGAAACTCACAAATAATCCCTAGCATGTATCACCACCACAAACAAAAACCTAATCTCTCTCCCAGAGTTCCTTGTAACCCAAGGATAAACTCTTACAGTTATTATTATTATTTTAGTTTTCTTTCTTCCTAAGGAAAATAATAAAATAAAAGCAGCCAGGAGGAGAAAAAAAAATCTAAGATAGATACTAGCTAACACTTGAAGATCATTATTCCTACTACATTAAGTCAGACGCAAAGGGCCTATCTAGGCAGTGTGTGGTGGGGACGGGGGGGGGGGGGGAGGGTTTAGGGACAGGAAGAGGGAAGGGAGACAGAAAGAGAGAGTGAAAATGAGTGTATGGAAGAAGCCAGTTAGCTCAAAGACTGGAAGCCCCTTCCAACCAAGACTGTCTTCTAACTGAATATGCCCGGAAAAATAATGCTCTGAACAGGCACCGCTGAACTCCTAACCCTCCTCAAGTCCTACCCACTTCGCCTGTGGAAACTCTCTTAATAAACCATCTCCTTTCCAGCTGCCATCCAAGTGTCTGTCTGTCCCTAATCCAATTCCTTGTTCAGGGACACATACAATTGGAAGCTGAAGAAGGCTCTGCATCCTGATTCACACCTATTAGGACTCTGTATTAGGACTCTGGGGTCCTAATCGGAAAGCCAGTTACCAATCGAGGAACAACTTTGTACTCTTGAGGATAGTCACGTGGCTGCCATCAGTGGCTGCAATGGCTGGCCTTGAACATCCTCGACGCTTAGTCGTTTTCTGGAGTTCCAGGGGAATTCTATCAGGCAAAACAAACCCTGGTACTGTGCTTGGTGTCTGTATGTAGGAAAACGTCTGGCATGGTCAGCAGGTTAACTTGAAAACCTAAGTAGGTGGTTAAAGGCTAGGTGGTACTCGGCATTTGGAATTCCACAGCGGAAAGGTACTGACGTTAATTCTAATGCTCCTGTTTTTCTTAGTAACATGACTCACTAGCACAGCTGTTGGCATGGGTGTCAGTCAGCTGACCCAGGCGTGCCGCGCCGTGACTGGCTGAGGAAAAGCACTCCACAAACTCAGCTGTGTATTTCCCAAATGAGGGGAAGCCACACAGTAAAAATTCAAGTCAACTCCCCAGTACTACAAATGTCTACTTGTGTGTGTTGGAATAAAAAGTAATGAGCACCATCATGGCATTTTGGGTCTGATGGATTTTTAAGAGGGCTGTGTCTTTCAAACAGAGTTGGCTGTCGTTCATTCCTTTCCATGTAGAACGTTAAGAAAAATAAGACACATTTACCAGTGGCGAGGACAGGGACTAGGATTAAGCTCCGCTCAGTGACCACAGTAAAATTCCAAAGGAATTTTCTTAGGGACAGAGTTGTCACCATGAACCTCTGGCTGGCTGTCCTGGAACTCACTCTGTAGATCAGTCTGGTCCTGACCTCACAGAGATCCACTTTCTGCCTGCTGGGATGAAAGGCGTGAGCCACCACACTCAAGTGTGCCAAGTGACAGAAATGCCCGATACTGACGCTAAGGCAGGGGTGGCAAGTTTAAGGTGTACTTACTGTTGTAGGTAACCCCCTGGATAGCCTTGTCCCTTTTGAATGATCAAAGAGAGAAGACACGTTTTCATCCTTCGTAGGTTTCAATTCCTGCCAGCCTTATTTACCCTCCCCTCAGTAGGTATTATTTTTCTGGCATATTTCGTTTTCATTCAATTATATGTGCTTGTACCTGTTGTGTACAGGTAATTGTGACCACTGTATAGTACTGGTCCGTGGTATTAAAACTTTCTGGTATCTCAAAAAACAAACAAACAAACAAACCAAGCCACATGAAAACCAAAACAAAACCGATTTCTGATATGTGGATTTTTAAAAGATTATTTCTATCACTAGGTTAATAGTTTCCAATAAAACAGCTACTGGGACATAGCTATACTCTCTATTCAGTTATTTTCAACTGGCATTACAACTTTGTATGTCAGCTCTAACTATATGCATAAATATCTTCATCGTGCCTATACTGGCAATTAGGTATTAATCTATCAAGTAGGTATGCAAGTAACTATGAAAAGGGATGAATTCAGAACCTTCTAAAAGCCAGAAGTTGCCACCTTTTATCACATGGCCCTGAAAAAGATGGAGCTGAAGATGACCAAAAGAACATACTGTATATTCTTTTAATTAAACCCAAAGTCATAAAAATTGGCACAGAAGGGGGGGCAATTAAAAATACTTTATTTCCTTCTCTAGTGTAGCCTTCATCCACTATAGATAGAACGCATCCGTTCTCCTCAGGTGTAGACAAAAAGCATTCCCCATAGGAGTCACTACAATTTGCAGGTAAAATGCAATAATTTTTGGTGTATGTTTTGCTTCGGTACAATGAAAGAGACTGTAGCAAAGTCAGTCCACTCACGGCTCTTCTCATGTGTAATATATTCCTACCAACAAGAAGGTGACTCCTACAGGAGAAAATTCTTTACCAGAAATGTATTCCGTGTAATTACACGATAACTTTCCCTTCTTAGGGTCGAGGTTTCTTATCCAAACGCCTGGAAGACTGAATGAGAGGAAGCCTCAGATTCTGCCATTCCTGTGCACATATCAGCCCCTGTGTCATCAGTTAGGTACACAGCAGGCTGGTTCCTGGCCCTGCAATCAGTTAGATTTAACCGCAGGGCTTTCTTACAGCAAAAGCACGGGAGCACCTGCCATCTGCGGCTTCCTCTGCCACAAGAATGGAAAAATCACAAAAAGAAGGGTGTTGTTAGAGCCGGACCTTGGTTGGGGTGAAGGACGTACAGCATAACCCGCAACAGCATAACCCACAAACAGCAGTAAAAAACAACACATTGCCATGACCATCGATACACAGTTAAACTTTAAAACACAAAACCCGGAACTCAGTAGAAAACTACTGATGTAAATTGCTACCTAATGGAAATAAATTATATATTAAAAAAAGCAACTTTTAGAGTTTTAAAAGACACCTGTGGTAAAAGAAACCGACTATACAGACAGATTTCTGCTTGCAAAAATTCTGCCTCTAATCCTTGATTGATTATTCCAAATAAGACTCAATGTCTTTTACAAACTGCTCGTCATCGTTAAGGTACTCCAGGATAACATTTCCTCCGTTATATAAAGGGTTGTCCTCCTTAGTGATCCACGCTTCCAAAGTGTGATCCAGGGGCAGGGCTTCTCCTGAAGGGATGTGACACAGCCTCAGCTTCTGCTGAGAGACACACAAACGTCACAGTGGTTAATGACGCACACACAGACACATTCCTGGACCTACGGGAGGGACGGTGACTGCACACGTTACCTTCGCCGTCAGCTTGTTGTTCTCATTTCTAAGGCTGGCTAGAGAAGCTGCGACGTCCACGACCTTTCCAATGCTCCATCGGAGGCAGAAGAACATAGCTTTGCTTTTCTCTTTGTTCCCCTTCGGTAAGTAAACCTGAAAGTAAATTCTTTCTGTCTGTGTAAGCAAAAGTTAACATGAGATTAGACACCTGAAATGAGACATTTCCCTTAAACAGTATAATGATGTAAGTTCTAGAGAGAAAACCAGTCATGCAACCCATCTAATTAACTGCATGTGCTAAGGACCCCAAACCCGCCTAGGATCTGTGCGATGACAGCTGTGTGATCCTGGGGCAGTAGGAGCTCTCTATTTTCTGGGTTGAGTTCCAGTGATTCAGACTTGGACTGTAGGCTTCCCTCACGCCCCTCAGCCACTCCTGACTTAAGAAGGAGCTCAACACGAACAGAGAGACATCAAGAAAATGGATGCATCATTCAAGAACATCAGAACACCTACACATGGGCCCCCTGTTGCGTTCCCTTCTGAAACAAACTGGTTTCTTCTGTACTCCTTGGAATCCTGTCATTCTCAAGACAAGGCTTCTGATACAAAACACTTGTTTGCATGTGGAAGACTGTACTGTTTATTGGAGGCAGCAAGATTTTTGAGAACAAAGAAAGTGAAAATCTAAAGTACAATAAAACCCCAGAAAAATACTTTATTAATAAAACAGAGGTTCAGAAATAGGATCTCTACCATAATCTGTCTTCACAGGTCAACTCCTGAACAATAAAAATGCTGCTCTAAGTAAAACACCTACCTCTAAAGGAAAATGTTGGGGAACAATCGGAGTAATCTTAAGAAATAACACAGTGAAAACTGTTCCCATCTCAGCAGAAAGGAAATCAGATTTGTTGGAGGTCAGTGGGATATAGTATAGATAAACAAAACAAAAAAAAACTTGCAAAGAAAAATAGAAAAAGCCTAAGTGCTGGTCTACTTCCAAACGCAGGAAAAGTACAAGATGAAAATGTAAAGCAATCAGGAAACTGAAGTAAGAGGTTCATGAGTTTGTAAACTTAACAACAGCTTGGGAGACCCAGTCTCTGAATAAATAACGGTAAAGGCAACAAAATACATAAGAAAAGGCAAAAACAAACCCTCAGGTTGTCGGGGCTTCAGAACAGGTAGTGCTGGCTAACGGTGGCTAAGTGGGAAGTAAATGGAGATAAAGTCATGGCTGTCGGGTGCTCATGGCCTACCGAGAGCCTGGGGTGGGACTCTCCGTATCTTATGGGCCTCCTTACGATTTATTTTTCCTTAACTAACAATTCTAGGGAGACTGGAATCTACAGAGCAGGCTAAAGGACTGAGTGCTGAGCGCTGGCCCGTGAGCCTGCCGACTCACGTCAGGACAAGTCACAGAAGCATATCTGTTCCTCCTTGACTGCACAGCACTCATAGCTCAATGGCTGCAACAACCTCGGAACCTCTCCAGAGCAGAAGCATCACTCGGCTCAAGCTTAGGTTTGAGACTGATGCTCTGGAAAAGAGTAAACTACCAGGAGAGGCTAGGAAGTAAGGGAGAAAAATGCAGAAGTCCCTTAAAGACAAGATGAACTTGTGGATTCAATAATCGTATCTGTTGAAACAAAGAAATGAACATAACAGAAATCTAAAAGAACATTAAAGTAAGTTACTTGGGATGTAGTGAAAGACATTATGTAATATTTCCCATAAAAGTGAGCATGCTATAAAATGAAAACAGGATGTAGTAGCCAAGAAGCCAAAAATATGACTTCTAAAATAAGAAAGTCAAACCAAGTAAATTTCTGTCATCCTAAATTAAAGGCTTAATTAATGAGAAGGTGAGTTTGAAGGTCACCTAGAAGGCAGCATAAAGGGACACAAAAAGGAATTATAGATTCCTGGGGCAGCCTGGACTACATAAGAACCTATCTCAGAAAAAGAAAATAATCAAAGAGGAGACAGAATCAGCCGAGCGTTGGTGGTGGATCTCTGTGAGTTCAAAGCCAGCCTGGTCTACAAATCAACTTCCAGGACAGGCTCCAAAGCTACACAGAGAAACACTGCCTCGAAAAACAAACCAAAAAAAAAAAAATAAATAAATAAAAAAATAAAAGAGAGAAAGAGTCAGTATGCATCAGCAGGAAGATGGCAAAAAGTCACCTCACACATTCCATGGAATACGATGCACACCAGCGGTAACAGGTTTTTTTTTCTAGTAGGCAATGGGCTTACATACAGAGATGACTACATAGTCTATCTGAAACATACCCGCTTTTATTTACAGCCCTTACCACTGGACATTTATAAATATTATGTGTACGTTCACAGACACACATGTAACATGCTGTGCTGGTCAGTTTTACTGAATTTACACAAACTAGAGACATCTGGGAAGAACCCTTAACTGAGGAATTGCCTCCATCAGACTGGCCTGTTGGCACGTCTGTGTGGCCTTTTCTAGACTGCTAACTGATGGTGGAGGGCCATTACCCTGTGGGCATTGCCGTCCTTCCAGTCTTGAGTTCATGACCTGATGTTCCTCATGGACACGGAGGCTGAAATAAACCCTTTCCTCCCCAACTTGGTTTTGGTTAGTGTTTGGTCACAGCAGGAGAGAATCAGGGACACATATAAATGGCTAAATTGTTAATTAATGAATCCGTATTAAGGTATATAATCTGAGTCTTTTTCCTGGCACTCGCTCTGTAGCTTGGGCTCTTGAGTCACCTCAGTCTCCTAGGTGCTAGGATTTTAAAGACAGCGTCTAGAGAGGCTTCCCCTCCTACACACTTGGGTCTTCAATGGAGAACAGGTGTGGATAACAATGCACTGAATAAATCTGAGAGTCGAACGACAGAATAATGTGTAGCTGTTGAATGAACTAGACCATACCTCGAGTACAGATAAATCCTAAAACCAGGATGCAAAGTGGGGGAAAGAGGGCTATGTGTGGCTGGTGGCCATCTCTACAAAGGGGAGAGAACGCAGCAGTATCAAGCGTTTACACAGACTCTGCGGCACGGGATCTTCAGTTGTATTCAGTGGAAGGGAGGAAGGGATGGAGACTGAGGCGGCTTGACAGGCTGGCTTTTTCACCTGCGGCAGTGACTTATCCCCCTGGGCATGCATCTTTAGCTTCATCAGCGACACCTTTGCGGCCGTTCCGCTGGTTTTTGCACCCTTCCGGCTTTTACTTGCTGCCCCTCCTGTCTTGGAGTCTACGGAGGAAAGACGTGTAAGCATGTGAGCGCATTCTCAACCCAGGGTCCAGGCTTTCTTTCCTTTTTTTCTTCTCTTTCTTTTCCTTTCAGTCCTTTTCTCTCGTCTTGAGACAAGGTCCCCCGTGTAACCTCGGCTGGCTTGGAGCTCCCTGGGACCCACCTGCCTGTGGTGCCTGTGGTGTGGTTCCGGACCATGCCCAACTTTACCATTTCGTCACACATGAATTGCACAGCACAGCTCTGTTCAATATATTTACACGACTAGACCACTTCCAGTTCCAACAAAGGCCCCACCCTTAATATGGAGTAAAAGTCCTACTGAACTAACATAGTGCCAGAGAAGCTAAGCTAAGTCACAGCCATGCTCTTTCCTGATGCCTCATACCTTCATCGACATTCACAGCCCAGCCAGGTAGCCGTGGCAGAACGTGTTCTGTAGACAAAGCAGTCTATCATGCCAATCTCATCTACAATTTCTTGATTTTCACTGGTCAGGAAGGCTTTGTACAAAATAATATTATTAAAATGCACGTTCTTGGGCCTACAGAGATGGTTCAGCTCTTACGAACACTGGCTACTTTTCCAGAGGATTTGGATTCAATTCTCAGTCCCCATGTGGTTCTTAGCTGTGTATGAAACTACAGTTCCAGGGGATCTGAAACCCTGTCTGGCCTCCAAGGGTACCAGGCATGCAGGCAATACACAGATAATACACATCGGCAAAACACCCATGCAAATAATTTAAAAATAAATAAAGTTTTAGGAAAGAATGCAAGTTCTTACACGGGGGAAGCTAACCGGTGGTCAGACTTAAGAGGCAGGAACAGTGGAGAAAGACTCGCTCACCGGGGATCAAAGCGGCCACACCAGCTTACCAGGACTCACCAATAATGTCTCTGACAAGCTTCTGTGTGGCAGCCATCCGAGGCTTTGGGAGCTCCAGTTTCTCACACCCATGATCTGACTGATGACGGTGTCTACAAGCAACAGAGGAGTTGTCACTCTCTCATGCACAACCCAACAGTGGCTCAAAGCTTGAGCGGTCTAGGTGATGATACCTCAGGCAAAAGTTCTTCTCACAATAAGGACATATCACTGCCACGAGCTCCACTTCGGGACAGTCCTTGAATGAACACGAGTAAGATTTGTGATCATCTGTCTTCTTCGGTGTCTCCTTGATTACATTCACCTAAAACGGTAAGGGGGAGGTGGATAGGGGAACACGGCACTGTAGTCCTCATTTAAAACATCCCCCAGGTCATTTTGGTTTAAGTTTACTAGATGACGTTATATGTTCTCACATACAAATTACAAGGGGTGTTTGAACGAGAAATGATTGCTATGATTATTGTTCCACTTTGTCATAACTTTTCTAACGTGTTATAATTATGTTTTAAGTTTAATTAAAATGAGTTTTCAGTTTCTCCATGTTTTTAGTGGAGACTGGGTCTTACTATGTAACACTCCAGCTGCTTCTGAATTATTTGCAGGATTTCTATTTCGGCCTCCTGGGCGCTGCAGCCACGGGTGTACCGCTGCGCCTAGGTTATTGCCTACAGTTTTACTCTCTCTGCTTTGAAACACTGTCACACAAAGATGCCCAGGAAGTCAACTCATCAACCCATAACCACTTCCTATGCCAGCCTTAGGCGATGAACGATTTAGGACACAGAACCTTCAAACATCACACCTGTAACACGAGTCAGTTTTCAAAATCATATACTAATTCCCATGCTGTGTGGAATATTTTATTATCAGGAAACATTGCATCAAAACACAAGAGTTTCTTTCTTTCTTTTTTCTTTTTTTGGAAGGGGAAAAAGAAAAGGAACAGACTAGCCACATTATTGGGCATAGAGTAGCTAGATCCATAGAGTTAAGTAAATCTAAGAAAATGATTGCTTGAAATCGGTAACCACAGGAAAAGTCATTGTATTTATGGTAGGAACGCCTATTATAATTAAAAAACCTAAATTGCCTTCAAAACTTGCTGCAATGACCTAAAGGTAAAATCATTTTTACTTGAAAATGTATCTGATAACTAATGTAAGAGCTATCATCAAAATCAAATGGTATCATAAGGAAAAAAGTCAGAGGGCCAGATGTATCTGTTTTCTAAAAAAATATAGATGAATTTACTATAACTCTACATATAATACATTCTTTCTTACACACATTCAGTCTTACACAATACTAGCAAATTAGGCAATTTTCACTTTCCTCAAACAGCACACACAGAAGGGTCAGATGGGGACTGCCAACCTTGGTTTTTTATGTGAGAGAGCGAAAGCGAATATTGTCCCGTAGAGCTTCGGTGAATGGAGGCAGGGATAAACCAACAAGCTACAGGCTGGGGCTTCCATTTCGGGGAACTAACTACCTCCCTTTCCCTGTCCTGACTTGGAGGCAGGTGGCCAACCAGCATCCGAACACCAGGCTTTGGGAAACTGTTCCAGGCTTCCTCAAAAGACCCAGCTGGCTCCCCCTAAGCTTCCTCCTTTATGAGGAGTGAGAGGGTGGGATTCTGGTTTCTGTCTTTGGCTCCGCCTCTCAATCTATTCGCGTCTGCAATCAGTGACACCAGTGACAATGAACGCTACCACGATGGGAGCCGTGGCCCGGGAGGGCAGTATGTTGTGGGCACTGAGGCCAGGCTGAATCATGCAGAGCCTGCTGCTATGAGTGGACTTCCTAAGCAGAAGCGTTAGGAGTTAAGATGATGAGGGTAAAAATGTGTAAAATGGCAATCAGAGCAAATTTTCCTCAAAGAGAAAAATATCATAAATGCGGCAAAAGATTCTTTACATATATATAATTCATTTAGGATGCTTAATATCCGGTATAATGACTAGCTTAAGTCTAATCAAATTCTAAAAGAACATGAATACAAACATATAAATTATGTCAGATTAGAGAAAATTAAACATACCTCAGGACAACCATGAGAGTCCCTGCTTCTGTGTTCAAGGCTTAAATGATTAAAAAAAAAAAAGTGTTTATTTAAATGCAAATCAATTAATTCACTTAATGATAAATGAAGTACTATGGGCTATTTAAACGCGCACATTCTTAAGGCACATTATGCTCACTACACTATCGACTTTCATGAAAAAAAAAGCCAACTGAAATCCACAGAAAGGAGTGTCTAAATGTTTACCCACAACCGAGTAAAACAATACACCACTCTAGTTATCTTTAAAGTGCACGCAAACTTCCGTTAAATGAGGGAATGCAATGTCAAGGCATGACTCCTCAAATCCTCGGATTGTACACAGGTCACATTTGCAAGTGATGTGTGCAATGCACTATCCATTTTAAGAATATTATAGGTTGGGCTCTTTTCATCCGTTAATTAAAATAATCATGTCTAACTTTCTAAAAAGCTATATTCTTTACATAGGGACAATGATTTCTCATTGTAAATTGTGATACTTAATCTTAAAATCTACATTTATGACTATATTTCTTGGAACTTAAAATATTAATAACATAATATGTAAAACTAGTTAGCTTGTGTTTTTCACAAGTCATCACAATGCTAAAATAAACATCAACTGTCAATGGCTAAAGTTAGAACCAGTTAAAAATCATTCTTATTTTCAGAAATTAATCCCACACTGACATTATTTTCAAATCCTACTTAAAAAACAAAAACACCAAAAACTAAAAACTAAACTTACCAAAATATTCCTGAACAACCATCACATACAAATGGAAGGAAATCTAAAATCAGAGGAGAATACGGTGGGTACTGGTCAGTATCTGACATTGATTTAGTTTTCTCATACAAAAAGAAAGCTACTGGCCAATTCTATAAGCAAAATTTTCTTTTGACTGTCCCTTTGTAGCAAGTCACTATGAAATCTCTATTAAGCAAAAACTGCCAAATTTTCAACTCTAGGAAAAAGTGGCTGAATCAACGGGGGGTAGACGTTACTCATAACAACTGTTAAATCATAAAGCCACTGGCTATTTTGGTGGTCTTTTTCTTCTTTGTTTTGTTTCTGAGATTTACCTGGTGTTTGTTTTTAAGGACCATACATGAGAGTCTGCATTTGGCACAAAAATTCTGACTCCACATCAATCAAGCAATATTAAGTAGATCACCTAATATTAAAGCCATGGATGTAATATATACTATGTAGCTATGTATTTCTATCTATGTATATATATATATATACATATATATACACACACATATATGTATACACATATATATACATATATGTGCATATTGTGTATCAACCTGATCTGCATTTACATCTATCATACCTTATTAGTTATTTCATCCTAATACTGTCTACACTCATGTGTTTTGGAAAAGTTATACAAGTATCAATTCTCAGATAGGGAAACTAATTCTCAGATAAAGGTAATTAATTTTTTTTAAAGATGTATTTATTATGTATACAGTGATGTATGTATCCCTGCATGTCAGAAGAGGGCACCAGATCTCATTACAGATGGTTGTCAGCCACCATGTGGTTGCTGGGAATTGAACTCCCGGACCTCTGGAAGTACAGCCAATGCTCTTAACCTCGGATCCACCTCTCCAGCCCCCAATTAATCTCTCTCTCTCTCTCTCTCTCTCTCTCTCCTTTTTTTTTTTTTTTGTGGTTTTATTTTTTTGTTTGACACAAGGTCTCACATGGCCCAGGATGGCCCATACTCCCACTTTTTCAGACTCTATAGAGTAATGCAATCGTGAGCCACCACACCTGACTTAATCACTTTCTAAATTGGTGTCACTATATATATATATATCAAGTAGCCACATGAAGCTAAATACGCCAATCATAGTACTTTCACAATGAAAATCACAAGGTGCAGCTCAGTCCCCTCTGAAGAAAACTGACAGTCTAGACAATGAAAAGGGGTTGTGTGTAAACAAAAGGGAGCCCAGAGGAAAGCCTGCTTGCAGACTGGGCGGAATAATACTCCCCTCTGCTGAGAAGCGCCTGATGAACTGTCACCATTGTTGCTAAAGAAAGCATGAGCTTCAGTTTGATACCGAGAAGTCAGAGACACGCGCGAAACTGAAACATAAAAATCTACACAACTTTCCTATCTTTTTTTAAAAGATTTATTTCATGAGCGCGTGCGATCTTGTGATTTGCCACACATGTGGAGGTCAGGGGACAGCTTTTTGGGACTCAGTTCTGTCTATCTCTCCACCAAGGCAGGTTCTCTCTCGTTACTCCTGCCAGGGCCCTCTGCACCCATGAGCCTCCTGTACCATGGCCACTGCTGATGTCTCCCAGAGAAATCTTTACTCACTGAGCCATCTTACTGTCCCATTATGTCTCTTTTCAATGCAAAAATAAATAAATAAATAAATAAATAAATAAATAAATAAATAAAATGTTTGCTATTTTGAGAGTTACGAGTGATCGTTCAAGGAAGCCCAAGAGAAAGGGTTATGATCAAGACAGTTTCCTAGCATCTGTTATCCCCCACTTAAGGTCTGCAAGATCTGCAAGGTCAGCAAGGTATGCGAGATCTGCAACGTTTGCAAGATCTGCAAGGTCTGCTCGTAGGATCTGGGCGGGAACCGAGGGGCCCCAAAGGCAGGGGAAGCAACAGCAAAGCATCACCGCTCCGCCCCGCCCCGCGTCCTCCCTCACCCGCCGCCACCGCCCCGGCCGTCAGGACCCGGCCCAGGTCTCCCGTGGCCGGGGATGCGGCTTGCAGGGTCACCTCGCTGCCGGCAGTGCTGCACCTGGCAGTGCTGCCCGACGTCCAACTCCGCCATCTTTCCACCGCCGCAGGGGCGGGGTAGGGCGGGGCTGCGTGAGGGGCGGGACGTGCGTGAGGGCGGGGCAGCGCTGCAGAAATCAACCTGCAGCGTGCAGAACCCGGGGACCGGACATGCATGCGTGTGGGGAGGAGCTGCAGAAATCAACCTGCATCCTGCAGGATCCGGGGACGGATCGTGCGTGCGTGCGGGGCGGGGCCTGGTGCAGAGAGTCTGCGGTCTCAGGGCTGGGGCGAGAACGCCCAGCGCTCAGTTCCTGCATCCCGCAGCCTCACGAAGATTCCTCGTGTGCCTTAGCGACTGTAATCCCAGTTACTACTGACACTGTCTGCATGACTCAGTTTGAAGTGAATGCACCCACAGTGGACGCATTAGGCCTTCGTTTGTTGGTTCGTTTTGCTCTAAAGGTTTCTTTTTCTCGTCTTATGTATTTCAGTTCTGATACAAAAAATATATATGTATCCATATATATATGTATGTATGTATGTGAATGTATGTGTATATATGTGTATACATACACACACATACATACATACATACATATCCATCCCAAAGTGCTTTGTGGGGTAGGCAGGGATGTCATTCCCCTGGCAAGATACTGGACACCGCTCAGAGTGGATGACTGACGAGCAACTGCACTCATGACAGCAACCCGGAAAGTATCCACTGTCTCCCATGTGACTTAAGAGATTTCCCCCAAACAACATTCTCCTGGAGGGTAAAGTGGATATGATTGCCACACACCATACTTTTTCAGCGCATTCTGGGTGTCTTTAGGCTTGTGCACCAAGCCCCCAAGGTTTCTTAAATCTAAGGCTCAACAGTTCACCTGGTTTTTATTAATGTTTTATTTCAGCTGGAGTTTCTAGAATTGTACTGTTCTTAAATGTTCTAAATAGGTGGTGAATATATATCTCATCAATCCAATCATAACAGAAAAAAAAAAAATCAGCTCTTAAGGATCTCACTGAGCATTAGCTGGTCAGAATAACCCAGACTGAAATTCAGCTGCTCGTATCCCTGACTCTCTTTTTCTGATTTTTCTTTACATATTATTTACAGAAATCAATTTCTCTGTGAATTTGTGCTTGATCCCTTCATTAACTACTACATCCTCACACAGATGCAATTTCAATGGTTTCTATATCATAAGCTCCTCTGCCTATATTCTTAATCATGGCAACTTTCTTTGAAACATGAGCTCTCCATTTCTAGCAGCCTAAGTACCTGCTTTGTGTTATTTGATAATGTACATTTTTTAAACAGTGCGGTTCCCTCCTTAAGTTCCCCACTTTACCAGGAAGCTCAGATTCACTTCCCATCCCTCTCTTGTCTTGGAAATAGCCACTAAAAGACAATCGAGTCTTCCTTCGAAACAGTTTCATTCCCTCAATTTGTCTGAATTACTTTTTCCCTGTAAAAAGTTACTTCCTTGCCCGATGATAGTCCCTCAGTTCCTCATTAGGTATGGGATTCTTTAGTTCACCCAGTAACGCTTTTCTGGTGAATCCTCAACTCTTCTACCCTGTCTTCACAACGTCTCCCTGCTGTCCCTCTCTGGGCTCTTTAATGTGCTTATACATTGCCCATGCCGTGTCCTTTCCCCTACATTTCTCTCTATGTCAAGGGTTCCCAAACTTCCTCGAAACTAAAAGTCATGGGCATGCTTGCCAATAAATACAGCTTCCACGCTCCCCCTTGGGACTGATTATAGGGTTGGGAGGTGGCCATAGGAAGCTGTGTAATTGGCTACAGATTCATCTTTATTGGGTACATTTAGATAACCCTTTGTCCCCTACTCCACCTTCGTCATGGAATCCAGTCACTCCTTCACCTTGCAAGGCTTTTGGAAGGTATAGGCACAGTTCAGTCCTCCAGAACACCAGGCATCTCTACTCACACTATTACTACTACCCAGGTGCTATTGCATTCTGTTATCTACAAAAGTCAAGTCTGTTCCTGGGTAAACTCAGCAAGTGAATTGAACATCTACATTTGAGGTACTAGTCTATACCTGATAAAACGGATTGAATAGAACATAGTCTGCAGCTACATGGAACTTGAAATGTCTACGATGGGATATCTTTGTTTGGCATTTTAAAGCCTTTCAGATTTTGGCTTGACACACCTTTTCCTTGCGATCACTCTGCACGAAGTCAGAGCTCTTTGCAGAGCTCCTTCTTTTGCTTGGGATGTTCATTCTTCTGCTGTGGCTAGTCTATTTCTACTTTCCTACTGTCACTAACTGTTTGCTTAGGAAATCTTTTTTTCTTTCTTTCTTCTTTTTAACCAGACTCAATCTTGTACAGGGCTAATAGAGGCAGAGGCCCTGTGGACGGTGCCAAACCAAGAAAGCGAGGCCATGCCTGACACTGCCTGGATGACCAGGATCTAGATAAACCAGAGACCTATGGTACGAACAACAACAACAACAAAAAGTCAGTGAAATGATTTCTAATGGTATTCTGCTATACTCACAGATCGAGGCCTAGCCCAGCTGTCATCAGAGAGGCTTCCTCCAGCAGCTGATTGGAAACAGAGACCGACAGCCAAACATTAGGTGGAGAGAGAGCTCTCGAATTGTCTATCTTGGCCCACAGGAGCTCATAGGAGGCTCATAGGCGCTCACAGAGACTTAACTGACAAACACAGAGCCCTCCATGGGTCTGCTCTGGGTCCTCTGGAAATATGCTATAATTGTTAGCTTGGTGTTTTTGTGGGACTCCAAACAGTAGGAGTGGGTATCTCTGACTCCCTTTCTCCTTCTGAGTTGCCTCTCCCAGCCCTGATATGAGGGTTTGTGCCTATTCTAACTTGTTATGCTATGTTCTGTTGACATCCCTGGGATGCTCTTTTCTGAAGGGAAAAGGAGGAGAGGACCTGGGAGAGAAAGGAGGAGGAAGGAAGATTGATCGAGGAGTGCAGGGAGGGGAAACTGTGGTCCAGACATGTTAAACGAGAGAAGAATAAAACAAAAATAAAATAAAATAAATAAATAAAAAATAAAGGTCATATTCTAGAGAAAAGAAAATGATGTTCAAATTGAATGCTTGACCCATTTGGGCAGGACAATGCGTATAGTTCCCTTTAACACTACAAAGTTTTAAAAACCCATACCATGTTTGAGTATTAATTATTGATATCCTGTTTTAGGTTCTAATGGTTGAAATGGGAACTGACTCTGGCTTGAACTTTCTAGCAAATCTAAAGGTGTAATTAAGAACATGAACTTGGGAATGAAATGGTGCCGCAGGCTGCTCTTCCAGAGGACCCGACTTCAGTACCCAGGAAAAAGTCAAGCGATCCACAATCCCTTCAACTCCAGCCCCAGGGCATCTGGTTCCCCACTTCTGGCCTCCTCAAGCACCCCTAAACATGTATGCACAAACCACACACAAACACATACATGTAATTAAATTTTTACAAAAGAATATAAACTTAATGCCCAAAATGATATTAGCTTGATGACATTTAAATTTTAAGTTCTGTGGAGATTTCTAAACTATTGCATGTCTATAAAAATTCAATAGCTTTTTTTTTTAATTCCAAACCATAATAGCCAGGTGTTGTGGCACAGACTTTTAATTGGGATTATGTGACAAGTTGCTAATGTGACAGGAGTTATTAGGAACAATCTATGTTCAGCTCCCCATCCTTGGTTCACCAATTAAGGAGACATGTAACAATGAGAAACAGAGAAATGAGATTTATTCAGCCTGCCCACATTGGAAAGAGGAACAGTGAAGAAATCCAGTTTCTACCACATTCATTTTGGGGGTTTAAGAAGAGGGCAAGAGTTATTTAGGGCCATGTGAACCGTCCAGCTCGAGGTGCGCTCTTCACCCATAACTGTTCCCGTTTCTGGTCTGTCCTGTAACGTCAGAACTGTGTGAAATTTCTTCCTGGGAAACAAGTTCCTCTTCTGGCTGGAGCAAGGAGTTCAGCCTTTCTCTTGTTCCAGCATAAAACCTTAGGGAAATTCCAATTCTTTGGGGTCATTATTTTAATAGTATGATAGCCAGAGAGAGGGCTACAAGCATCTCTCTTCACAAAGATGGTTGGAGTGAAGCATCAAAACATATCTGTCAAAGCCAGGTGGCTTATAATTGTAATCGCATCACCCAGGGAAACGGAGGCAGGAGGAGCCCCCTGAGCAAGAGGCCCTGTGTCCAAGAAAAGAACAAAACAAAACAGTTTACCATTTAGTGAACAAACAAGGTAACATTGGCACATAGCTCAGGTCGTTATGTAAACATCAGGGTGTTGACAATGTTTAGAGCTTTAGGTTAGAGATGGAGATGGTACCGACGCAGAGGGGGGCCTGTCATCACAGCCTGTCTCCATCAATATCATGGCTATGTTTGTGTGGATGCATGCATGTGCTGTGTGTGTGTGTGTGTGTGTGTGTGTGTGTGTGTGTGTGTGTGCTTTGAAAAACATCTTTTAATCAAGAGTTTCTCGCCAGCCATTAGGCTCGTAACATGTTCTTAAGTAATGACTCTTAAGAGAGATAATTTTAGTAGTCCTGACAGGCATACATAAAATTATTTCAGAATGACACCCTAAATTATCTTTTGGCGTGGGTTGAATCTTCAAATGTAATTTGTCTAATTAACTATGGAGATTTTCGATGATGCAGTAACAGCTACTATTAACATCACTCCTTGAAATTCCTACCAATCAAAAAGGAATGAAATCTCTTAAGCTATAATTTATTTTCTAGCAAGAATAGTTTGAACAAGGACAAGTGTTTACCTCCTTCTATGGTGCTATGTGCAACATGCACCCCTAACATTTCCTTTCTTCGAGGAAGATGGACCAGAATTTTGTCAGAACTTCTGTGTGTGATAAGAGTATTCCTCCTACATATTCAGAATTATGATTCAGATTGTTGGATCCTGTCTTATCAGCTATGCTCCCTTTATGCATTTAGTTCTTCAACAAATATTGACAGGGTGTCTACAGTATGCTAGGCTCTGCTTTCCAAACTTTGAAGACACTGGCGAACAACATA